GGTGTAGAGATTTGCAATTTACCGAGCACTCTCCCCAGAGTCCACCTGCAGTAGGGCAAGAGTCACCTCTCTGGCAGTTGAGGAACTGGGGAGGGCTGGTTTTTTTCATCATCGAGTGGCTGGTCATGTCAAGGAGGACTAAGCACCAGGTCTGTCTGTCCTCTGTGGGACTCATTGCCCCACCTGCAGACTCCCCACCTCTCAGTGCCTGCTGGGGGATCCCCACAGGAGTGAACAGCTGGGTGGAAGGAGGAGCCCTTCTTCAGCGATGAAGGCAGAAAGGACTATTTTATAGGATTTACAGCCTGTGCGATTTGTACAGGGGCAAACGCCCACCCACTTTGACACAGATAACGAGAAAGTTAACTCAAGTATTGTCTGCTCCAGAATTCAAGTGGAAAGAATTCACATGCAGAAGATACCTTAAATAAGAACCAAAATTGCTGCTTTAATGCCTGAAGACAAGACAGTTTTTATCGGTAAAGCTACCAGATAGTTCTATTGCTTCTGTCATGTTTCCTCAGACAAATGCCTAGAACTCACTGTGCTCCCACAAGTCACTGCAGACTTAGCTGCTACATTTTCTTGAACTGCTGATTATAAGGAAATTTTGAAAACTAGTCCTTAGTGGCACACACCAATCCTGAGCTGCTTTAAGACAGATAAATTCAGGTTAGAAGATGCCCAAGAGACAACCTGGAATGGGAAAGAAGCCACTGAAGTGTCATCCCAGGGAAGCCCCATCGGCTCGGGGGGCATGGCACAGAGTGTGTGGCACTGCACAGGAGGAGAGGTGCTGTGGCATCTCTGGGTCTCATCCCCACCCCCGGTCCCCTGCTTGCTTGGGTGCCTCAAGGGGGCTTAGTCCCCTAAATCTTGGCACCATTTCTGTCGGGTCACTTTTGGAATAGCGAGAGCAGTGGTGCTATCCAGACTACCTTCTATTCCATTCTGCCATTCTTGTAGAACAGCATTAATGAAACAGAATTCACATATCATGCAGCTCATCCATTTCAACTGTACAGCTTCATACTTTCAGTGTATTCGCAAAGTTGTGCAGCCATCACCATAATCCAACTGGAACATTTTCATCCTCCCTAAAAAAAAAAAAAAGAAAACCACCAGTCATCAATCCCCATTCCACCCATGTACCCCCCAGTCCAAAGCAGCCACGGATCCACTTTCTGTCTCTGTGGATCTGCCTGCCCTGGACATTCCTTGTCACTAAAACCCAACCAGAGGCGGTCTCTGGTGACGGCTGCTTTCACGTAGCATGCTTCAGGGTTCACCTGTGTTGCAGCGCATGCCAGGACTTGGTTTATTTTTATTGCCAAATACTCTGTAAGGGTGGACCCAGTTGCGCTTTTCCATCCACTGGCGCACGGACATTTGGGCAGTCCCTGCTTTGTGGCTGTTGTGACTATTGCTGCTGTGAACGTTCACGCACTGTTTTGCCATTGGCTGGTGTGACTTCATTCTGGTGAAATGCACAGCTTCCCACAGTGAAATGGGATTCACGTTCTGTCAGACAGTGAGAGCATCTGGAAACCTTCCTCCATGACGGCCTGACAAGAAAGCTGACACCAGTGAGATACATATTTTAAATGTATGACTTAATTTAGTCAGAGACCCATAAGAACACATTGTGGCTGTGGAAGGGAAAGAGAAAAATGTCAGGAAAGAAGTTCTTTTCATGAATGTTCCACCTGTGTGCTTAGCCCCTGCACTGTGTGTGTGTACAGGAACATGGGACATGCACCCTCCCATCCTTCCTCCCTTCCTGACAGTCCAGCTGTCCTAGCTTTCTGCCTCAGAACCAAAGTTGATGGGCAAGACCAGCAACCAAAAGAAAGAAGCCAACCCAGACCAGGGCCGGGCCAGAACTCTGCCACTGCTGCTGGATTGGAAATACTAAAGGCAGCCCTGGGCCATTTGGAGATGCTAATGAGGCTGGCCAATTCCCACCGGTCTTGGGTTGCCAGCATTGAGTGTGTAGGCTCACCCCAGCCACTGCCCGCACCTGTTCCCTTCTGAGATCCACTCCAAAGGGGCTGAATAGCCCAGCCGCTCTCTGATCTCTCTCCGGCCGCCTTCCCGCTGGTAGGACATTAAGCACTTGCCTGGCTGGGGCCGAGTCCACTCTCTCTCCAACCATGCCAGCTCTCAGAATCATCCTCCTGCCTAATTATCTCGAGCCAGTTAATCATGTTCCACACTGGCTGCTCAGAGCAAGGATCCAGGGAGAGGCCGGGTTTCTTGTCCGGCCCTGCCCGGTGCCATCCCGAGGGGCAGTCCTGGAAGGCAGTTGTTCCTCGGAGATGAGAAGCCCAACTTCCATCCTGGCCCTTGCCATCCCAGTGAGGACAGCTGGAGGAGACCTGCTGTCAGGAGACCCTGACCCTGGACAACCTCTGCTCGGTAGAGCAGTGGGGAACACAGTGTGCCTCCAGTTAGTCACTGTTCCCTGTGTTCTTTAAATCCCTTTGACACCCAGAGTATCAAAGAAGTCACACGAGGTCAAAGAAGGAAGGCTTCTTTCTTTCAAGATTACTCCTGGATTCCCCAGGCACAGACTCTGTCTGAGCTGCCAGTTGGCCCCAGTTTGGCCCCTTGGTTTCTGAGTGAAACTGAAGACCTCCCAAGGGACCTCACTCAACAGCCCCACATGTGAGCAGGGTTGACCCCAATCCCAGCACCACTGCTATGTAAAAACAACTTTGATGTGAGACACACAGGAACCCTGCAACTCAGTGTCTCACAGCATTGTTCCCATGGTCACCTACTGTGGAGCCTCTGATGACATGTGTATGTCCTAATTTGTCCCCTCCCCTGAAGCACCACAGAAGTACTGGGTATCTGTTTCTTTACGGTACTTATATCTGTGCTTTATGCACATAGAGGGGAAGATGCTTTCGCCCCCAAGGAGTGCCATCCCTTGCTCAACTGCATGCTATAACTCCTCCCCCAAGCCCCAAAGGCAATGGTCTCATCTGCTTTGTTGGCTGCTGCAGCCCAGAACCTAGAACGGTACATGACAGCATCTGGAGCCCAGTTGATGAAAGGATGAAGTAATTACACTCCGTGTCTCTCCGTTTCCCCAGGCATCACATGCCCTCAGCCTGTTCCCATCCCTTAGCCCCATGCACAGTGCTCTCTTCTGGAGCCTTCCAGTGCAGCCCAGGTTGGCGGATGGCCCATGCTTGCCCCCAGGGATGTGTCAGGAAGCTGACAGCACTCCTCCGCTCGGGTGACTGGAACCCCACCCTTTGGGAGCCCTGCCTGTGTGTCAAGGGCAAGTGACATTTGAGCCCTATGGAGTAATCAAGGCAGCCCCCAACTGTCTTGCCTTTGCATCTCCTTAACTCAACCATGGATTGACACTCTTTGTGGTCCAGCATACCACACCAGGCTGCGTCTGGGGACATGCGGGAGAGGAGAGACGGGTCCTCATCAGCAATTACAAACAAGTCCTCCATTGTTAGCGTGCCATCTGCTTTCTTGGTCCCCACCAATCAGGTGCCTGGATGTGCAGCATAGCCAGGGCTGGGGGCTGCAGGGAGGGGGGTGAGATCAAGGAGCCCTTCATAAGAGCCTCTGCGCATGCTGTCGAGCAGCAGGAATGTGGCACTCTGCATACTGCACCTCCTGTCCAGGGAGGCCACGCAGAGCCGCCCTGTGTGCTGTCCTCCATGAGAAGGGTCTTGGGGGACAGTAGGGACTCTAGATGGTTCCGCTATCCAGAGAACGCACAGAAAGCACTCCAGTCTGTTACCAGCAGTTGGCAACAGCCCAGAACGTCTTTTGCCCGAGGGCAAAGCCACCACATGGAGAAGGGGCAGCTAGCAGTGGTTGGAAACCAAACCCAACAAGACAGAATGCTTGTGGCCTCCCACGATCCACTGTCATCAGCTGTTGAGCCTGAAACTCTTGACCCCAAATACATTTCTTTTGAGGGAGGTGGATAATTTTCTTCACTCGATTGGGAAATTTGGCTTCATAGAAATGCATGTTTCTGAGCATCCAGCTAAGAGGATGCCAGCAGTCCTCCTTCCAACTTAGAAAATCTTAGAAACTAGCCTGTCTCTGTGCCAGTCTTAGCAGAGGGGGTCAGAAAATCCAGATTTACACCTGTGGCCATGCAGACGGTGGTCCATCTTGCAGATAAATGTCCTTCCGGATTTGATAGTGGTCTAGTGACACCGAATCCAGGAGAGTTGTGGGGGTGGGGCAAGAAGCCACAACCTGATACAGAAAGAAGGCACATTTTCCAAGGAAACCAGCCCCACATAGGAAGCAGGGTGGTGTGATGGGATGGGGTGACTGGAAGACCCTGTCACAAAGCACAGAAGAACCAAGGTCTTTCCTTGATGGGGTGTCACTTCTGAGGGCATGCAGCTCTGTGGGTGAGGGGAGCGAGCTTGTGGTCCAATTTCGCCCTTGCAGGATCCCTTTAGAGCCTTCTGCATAGCACGCTGTATGTTCTCTCCCTGGGGATGGTCACATTATAGGTGACACTAGTGCTGAATTAACACACCAGGTACAACCCAGAAACCATCAAATGAAACCCGGAGATGCATACACTTGCACACCCAGTGGGCTTCAATTATTTTATTCAGGTCACTCATTACGTTCCAAATGCTTGTTTTGAAAACTCTTTTATCTTTGACCATATTTTAGACCAAATCAGTCTGGTAAGGTTGGATGCCAAGAAAAGGATCCAGCTGTCAGCACTGCTTGGCTTCTGGAGGGCACCTGACAAGGTCTGCACGTAGACATCTTCGCAGTGCCTGTGTCTGTTGCATTTCATGTTTGTAAATGTGACACCAGCTAGAACTCTATCCTACCAAGTAGTTTTTGGAGTGAATTTCAGGTTCTTACTGATCCGCAAGGCTTGCTCAGGCACTCAGGAGTTAGGGTGTCACCAGCACTGTGCTCGCTCCCAAGTGGAGCTGTGGGGGCACCCTGCTGTCATCATCTGATCTTGTGTTCTTTCCCTTCAGATTAAAACACGCAAAAGTCTAATCACAACACTGGAGCAAGGTAAGACTCCACTTCAGCAGATCTGCCCACCCTCCCTGCCTTTGGGGAGGGGGAGATCTCCAGACCAGCACCCCCCCCCCAGCGGGCTGACTGCAATGCCCCCTCCCGCCTCCCTGCCTCTTACCTCCTGCCTCCCCTCCCCCCCCCCCCCCCCCCCTCT